CTTTTAACATATGTTTTAATGTGACCAGAGGTGAATATTATGGTGCAAAACATCTGTGTTTACATACGGTACAACAAAAAAGTATACATTCACTATTTTTGCTCTTAACATATCCAATTCTGTCTCAAACATACTCGTATTCCTGGCACTATCGTGCCCTGAGGGTGCCCCCACCCTAAGGGACCCCCTCCCGCCCGGCTCTGGAAAGGGGAAAAGGGGTAAAACTTAACTTTTTCCAGCGCTGGGCGGGGAGCTCTCTGCCTCCGATCCTCCTCCGTTCCTCCCTGTCGGCTGAATGCGCACGCGCAGCAAGAGCTGCGCGCGCATTCAGCCGGTCGCATAGGAAAGCATTATCAATGCTTTCCTATGGATGCTTGCGTGCTCTCACTGTGATTTTCACAGTGAGAATCACGCAAGCGCCTCTAGCGGCTGTCAATGAGACAGCCGCTAGAGGCTTTGGGGGAAGGCTTAACCCATTTATGTTTATTAAAAAAATGGGTTAACCCTAGCTGGACCTGGCACCCAGACCACTTCATTAAGTTGAAGTGGTCTGGGTGCCTAGAGTGGTATTACAGATGTTTTTTGTAGTCCATCCATGCATCTTTATCATCATCAGAACTGATTACTAGTCCAATGCGATTACCAGGATTACAGTCCAATTATATTTTTAAATAACATAAGATTTAGCTCTCTGCATGAAAAACTTACAAGTGTATTAATGAAAGTGAAAATTCATAATTCATAATTAAGACCAAAACACCCGGAACATCCAAATTTTGCTCTGCTTGAAGTTTGGCCATGTTAGCTAAGTTTGGGTGTATCTAAAAAAAAGCTTGCAAAAGATAAAGATCTTTTGCCTCAAGCCTTTGCAAGCCGTTCCCTTGTTTCCCAGCCCAGGCACTCTATGACTGCTCAATCACAGACTTGCCAATGCAGATCAATGAAAAGTCTTTAGGAGGCAGGTGCCCTGAGAAACTGTCGTCATCTTAAGATTAGCTTCACCGAGCTAATCAAACCATGGAGTAATATGATCAGTTGTCTGATTGACAGTGTTAACTTGTAAAATTGCAAATTTCTATTGAAATCTGCACGTTTTGTAAACTGAAAAAAGAATAGACACAGCAATCTGAAGTGCCTAAGGGTCCAGTTAACTTGTTTTGGTGCTAATAGTAACCCTTTAATGAAGGAAATTATTACATAAATGTAGGATTGGATGACCCCCACTATGCTAGCAGGTTAGAGCAGTGGTAACATAACTGCCTTGAAGTTGGGTAAGCTAAGTTCTAAACCCACCCTTCAGCCACCCAACTCAAATCATCATAGCTTATAATTGGGTTTGAGTAGGGGCTTTTTCTATAACTGTAAAGTGCTACAGAATCATTTGGCCCTATATAAATGATAAACCAACTTGTTAGATCTGCCATATGTCCAAAGCGGGCCTCAGGGTTGGCGCAGGGGGCGTCATGCGGCCAACACAGTTTGCACATGGCCGGCTACCTGAGTGGAGAATTTCATTATTCTCCACCCAGGAATAGAAAAAAAAAAAAAAAAGCGCCCAGCATTGCAGTGGGGGCGAGGCTTACCAAATGACAGGGGCAGGGCTAAAATGATGGTGGGGCGGAGCCAAAATTGCCTGCTGCATGAGAAGCAGGAAGGAGTCCCTGCTTCCCCAACAACCAGACCCCAGGAGCTGCACTGCCTCCACTTCTCCCAGACCATACTGGACAGAGGTAACTGTGTATGACTGTCTATCTGTGAGTGTGTGCAACTGTCTGCCTCTGTGTGTAAGTAGCTGTGTGTGTGTGTGTGTGTGTGGCTGTCTGCCTGTGTGTGTGAGAGTACCTGTGTATGTGGCAGTTTGCCTGTGTGTGTGTGTGTTTGTGTGTGTGTGTGTGAGACTGTCTGCCTGTGTGTGTGACTGTCTGCCTGTGTGTGGCTTTCTGCCTGAGTGTGTGACTGTCTGCCTGTGTGAGTGTGACTGTCTGTATGGCTGTCTGTGTGTGTGTGTATGCGACTGTCTGCCTCTGTGTATGTGACAGTCTGCATGTAACTGTGTGTGTGTGTGTTAGACTGTATGTGTGGCTGTATGGATGTGACTGTCTGTCTGTACCTGTGTGTGTGACTGTCTGCCTGTAACTTTGTGTGTGTGTGTGTGTGTGTATGTGTTACTGTCTGGTTTTAATTGTGTGTGTAACTGTGTGTTACTGTCTGCCTGTAACTGTGTGAGTGTTTATTTGCCTGTAACTGTTTATGTGTGTAACTGCCTGTACCTGTGTGTTTCTGCCTGATCCTGTGTATTTGACAGTGTTTATGTATAACTGTGTGCATCAGACTGTGGGACTGGGTGCATGTGACTATGCAGTTTGACACATCTGGCATGCACTTCTGTTGGCTGCACTTCTGTTGGTGCCCCCATACCATAAGAGCTGTCTTTCTAGTTCCGGCCAATCAGAGCACTGCTGCAGATTACCACAGGACACTGCTAGTCCCTGAGCTTGCGAGAAAGCTACGCATGGTCTGCACCCAGTAGAGGGGCAGACCAGATTCAGATCAGCATGCCCCTCTCCCAACTAGGTAACAACAGGAAATGAGGAATTAGTATTTTTTCACAGTCTTTCTGATTGATATTTTTGCTCTTTCTAAACAATAACCATTACATTATATAACTTAACATAATATTCTTTAGTACTTTTTTGTAGAATCATTATTGAGTATTAACCAGCATTGAATGTTAACAAATACAACATTACAGTAATTGACTGTGGCGTCACACAAATACTCATAATATGTACATACGGTTTTGTTAATCGTACCTGAAGGTCAATAACAGTAAATATATGCTATGATCCCAGGATGGAAACAGTTTTTTTTGTACCAGAAAGACAAAAGCTTGTAATTAACTTCCTGATACCACCAGAGATGGATTAAATGCCCTTGCCATGGAAACATCCGAATTGATTGGAGCATAGAGAGGCCCCAGTGCCACGCCTTTCCAGCTATACCCACTGTTTGTGTTTCAGTGAAGCATTTAATTTGAGAATTCTCCGGAGTGCTGTTGCCTGATGATATTTATAAAAAGTCTGGCAAAGCTAAGCCTCCTTAATGCCTAGATAGGCAATTCATAGCACAGACGAGACCTCTCTACCCACCTCACAATTACAGAATTGCAAAAAAAGTTTTAAGTAAATATAATGGGACGGTTTAGAAAAAATACTATAATATAGGCAATATGTTTATCTTTATGACTTATTTAAGGCCTAGCCAGGTAATGTGCCTGTAATTCCGTTACTTTAGATCTTGATATCTACATTGTGTCACACTCCCTCTTGGAAGGATTCCTTGTAAGAGTAAATAATAAAGATGAAAGCAGACAACCTTGCATAGTCCTGTAAGACTTCCATCCATGTACCATCCACTTGGACTCGGGCATTAGGGCAGCCTTACTGCGCCCCAATCCAACCCAACATCCTGTCCCCAAAATTATTTTTTTGGAGCGTGGCAATCGTGAAAGTCCTGTCCAGCCAGTCAAAGGCCTTTTCAGCATCACTTGATAGGAGAAACATGGTAGTGCCACCACTTTGATGCCATATTATTACATCAGCACATTTCTGAAACAAATGTATTTGAAGGAATGTGATAGTATCAGAAACACAAACATATTTCTGACAATATAGTGTTAACCTAACTATTAAGGTCCCAGCCCCATGGTGCAAATCAGCTACTCCTCATAGAAATGCATTGAATCAATGATAGCACTGAGATAGGAAGCACCTCTAGCGGCTGTCTGAGTTAAGGCAATGTAAGCACTGCCTGAAAAGGAGGTTATTTGTGATACACTACCTCAACCTGGGAGCACCGCTTATGATGGGATTCTAAATCTGAGATGCGGTCAGTAAGGGTGGACAACTGCTTCACAGCAGTTTTTATGTGTAGCCAGTTGAATCATATGACCCCTACAGATGCTATTGTACCCCTTCCAAATCGCCATCTGGGACATTTCTATAGAGTCCTTGTCTGTGCAGTACTAGGTGAGTACCTGGGTTATCTGTTACCCCACCACTAGGTCATTAAGTATGTCTCACTGAACTTTTCTCTGGTGGCTTATATATATGAGAGTGAAGGGCAATCTGGATCTGTCCATGATCTGTCCATGTAGAGGCTGTCATCACTGCCTCCCATTACTGTGTGAGAGTTTTTGTTGTGTGAGTATGTAGTCTATTCAGGAGTAACAGCAGTGGAGAGCAGATTAGTGAGTGTAGTCTTTGCTATCATGATTTTGTGCTCTCCAGCAATCCACTAGTCGCAACTCCCAAAGTGCTTTCTAAATAACACAAATATTCAGGTGGGGAATGTTGCTGGGTCCAGTTCACTCCACCCAAAAATAGAATACTTTCTATATAAAGAGCTAATTTGGATAAGATTTAGCAGATAAACTGCGGCTGTTTGCAATTGGGGCATAAATTGATGCCAGAGTGTACTTTTTAAAAAAAATATATATTTTTTTTTGGTGCATGTAATAAATACAAACTGGCTGGAGGTACCCCAACGGCAATCCTCCAGCTGCTCGTCATACGTAAAAAGTGGGGTATTCGCTATTCAATGCACAATTTTATGGAATAAGAAGAGTGATAACATACTATGACACAATTTTAAAGTATAATGAATGTGCTAGGCTGCATATACATACAAATGTAAAGGTTTTGAGATTCAGGATAGTGTGGGTCAGTTTAGTTGCGTGCGTTGTTTGTTAATGAGGCACAGCGTAAGTATAGAATATACGAGTAGTAGGACAAGAATTGTCTGTGTCGGTAAGTGTTCTAGAGTTAGGTAACTCTAGTGTCAGCTGTCATGTGGGTTACAAGAGATGTCTTTAGGAATTAAGCAGGAGAGATATAATGTGTTAGTGTGGCATAACAAAACATATTATTTCCACTTGTTTCTCATCATGGGTCTGGAGAGTCTGTGTTGCCCAGTAAGACAATGTCGATGCTAGCCCGAAATCAGCTGACCCCGCATGCGGGCCATGTTAGGTAGGTAGTCTCTGTGGCTGCCATGGATTCCCTTGGTGAGGGCTCAGCTCCAGCTGGGTTCGGCTTAGTTTTCTCCTGTGCCGCAGCGTGATGCTCCGCTTTAGCCCTGGAGGGCAGCGTGGTTACGTGCTGGTCTGGGAGTCTGTGTTTGGGTATGTTGCTTGGACTTTGGGGTTGAGTGGCTGTCTCGCTCCTGTGAGTGTAGGAGCGGGTGCATGCGCCCGCTTTGCTTGGGTCCGATTCCCGCCTTTGCGGTCGTCGATGCTTACGTGGCTGGATGGCCGCTTTGAAGGTCTGCAGTGGGAGTCCATAATGGCGCTGGCGGGTCACAGGACGAATCCAATCTCGAAGATATGACATTCCGCTGTCACATAGTATATTGCATAGGCTCGAGCAGAGCCGGTCAAAGGTCTCCTGGGAGTGAGAGTGTGGATGGCTGCCCGTGTTCCCTCTCTCTGGCCTTAGCTTGGCGGCCATCTTAGATGAGCTCCAGCTGACTAGTGTCTCTGCAGGCTGTGTGGCCACGATTTCTCCTTTGCAGCTGTGGTCCGCTTGTCTATTGGGGACCGGGATAACCCCACCCGTCCAGAGGGGAGGGGTAGGAGATCAGCAGCGATTCCAGGGGGTCCAGCGCTGAAGAGTGCGGCCGCCTCTCCTCGGGCCCTGCTCCAGGTCACCTGCAGGCTGCAGGTTACGTTTCTTGTTTTGGGCTCCAACCGGCTCCAAAAAAGGTTTCCTCTGGTTCCGTAGTGCACCCCCAACATGGGTAGTGCACCTTGGTGGGTTGTTGGGCTGTGTAGCCGCTGGTATTGCCTTTTTATTCTGCCTTCCCAACAGGAGCTCTTTCCCCGTACGTCTGTTTAGCTTGGCGGTCAGACTCCGCCACCCCCGGAGTGTACTTTTGATCCACCACTCTTTGGATTCAAACTGGATCCCTCTTGCATCCTAGCTTCTGAAATTGTAACATTGCAACTATAAGTATTGCAACCCCTGGGCTCCATGCTAGTGCATTGTTGCTACAAAAATTAGTTGTGCATGTTATATATGGCAATGTCAGAACTGAGCCCTCCTTAAAGTGTCTATGTCTCAGATTCCAAAGCAAGTGAGTTGCATGCTCAGGGATATTCAGTCCCACAATTGAGGGTAATCTAGTTTAATGGATCTGATCTGTAGGCTATAGTAATGGGTGGAATCTTTAGGTCCCTCAGTCCCTAAAGGGGTGACCCTTTGTCAAACTGTAGTTGTAAGCCGGTTGGGCAGAGAGCCCCAAGGAAAAGTAAGCCCTGTGTGGGTCCCCCAACTCTCCCCACCAATCCACTTTTAGTGACAATGGGCCTGGGAAGCCTAGAAATAGAAGTTAGAGGTTAGTAGGTAAATGAGTAAAAATAGCAGGGAGTGCATTATTTTCTGGAAGCCAACTGGTATTTAGTATCTATTTAAGAAAAGTATATTAATTTACCTAGATTTGACACTAGGAAACAATATACAATTAAACACTTTAAAAAAAAACTGCTGTTTTCATGTGAATTCATGTTATTTTTTAAATGTAATCCAGTTACTTATTCGATGTTGCATGATTTTGCTAATAATATATATTTCACTTAAAAATATTTTCTGGCTTTTATCCCACACTTTGTTTTGCCCTTTTTCATATTATGTTATCATCGTTCATAAATACTGTTATCATCTGACCACTTGACACTTATTTGCACCTGACATTTATCTTTTGAAATTCTTATGCAGTACATCTGGAAGGATAATAAATCATGAGTAAAATGTTACTTCATTCAAAGTATACCATTTTTCTACTCATCGCATTTAACCTCCTTTTAAATTTGTTAGGACATTGTGAAGGAAAAAAAGGTCAAGTGAAATATCATATCACATGTTATCCATATGAAATGTTACGTTTTCCTTGTATTTGTTATTGAAAAAAAAAACCTTTTAATGGACATTTTCAGCTGTTAATGGGGCACTATAGTTACCAGAACCACTAAAGCTTAATGTAGTTGTGTCTGTAATTTGTCCCTGCAGCCTTAGTACTGTAGCACTTTTCAGACAGGGCTTACATTGCCGTCACTCAGACAACCACTAGAGGTGCTTCCTATCTCAGTGCTGCACTGTTATTGATTCAATGACTCTCTATGGGGAGATGCTGATTGGTACAGTGGGACATATACCCTGTATAAACCCCCCCCCCCTCCATTATACCCTGCACAGCCCCTCTCTCTCTCCACGTACCCTGCACTGACCCTCTCCCCCTCGCCATGACCACTGAACAGCCCCCCTCCCTACCTTCCTCCATGTACCCTGTACAGCCCCCATAACTTTCTCCATGTACCCTGCACAGATCCCCTCCCTCCATGTACCCTGCACAGATCACCTCCCTGCACAGAACCCCTTATATTAAGGGTGTCTTCCCTGGGCCACATTGAGCCCAGAGGAATTGTCTTGGGCCACACATAAAACCTATAATATAATTAATTTATATAATAAAACTTAAAAACCAATTTTATTTTTATTTAGTAGACAACTCCCTTATTTGTTATCCCTATGTGGAATTGCTATATTTAAGCACACCATGTATATGCATATGGACACATAACCACAGATATACATACACACACAATCACAAACCTATACACACATAATCACAGATGTACATACACTCACAGACCTATACACAGTCACATACACACACATAATCACAGATGTACACACACACAGACATACACATACAATCACAGACCTATACACACAATCACAGACATACACACACAAGCATACAATCACGTACCTATACACACAGTGACATACATACACACATAATCGCATATTTACACACACATATACGGATACACAAACAATCGCAGACTCCCACACACATAGAATCATATACATACACAAACAATCACAGACCCACACACAATTACATATATACCCACACACAATCACAGACCCACATACACAATGACAGACCTATATGCACAATCACATACATTCACACACAGTCAGACACACACACATACAATCACATACATTCACACACATAATCACAGATATACACACACACAATTACAGATATACACACACACACAGTCACAGACTTATACGCACACATACCTACAAACACATAATCACAGACACACACAAATAATTAGAGATATACACACACAATCACAAACCCACACACATAATCACTGACTTACACACACACACATTCACACAGACCCCCCACCACACACACACAATCACTGACAAATCATACACAAAAATTACATTTATCACTGTGCCATTTAGTGTGTGTGTGTGTGTATGTATGTATGTATGTATGTGTATATATATATATAAATACATACACACATACCCTCCCTGCACCCTGCACAGAACCCCTTCCTGCATGCTGCACAGTCTCCCTGCACCCTTCACATACCCTCTCCCCCACTGCACTCTGCAAAGAACCCCTCCCTCCCTGCACTCTGCACAGACCCCTACCTCCCTGCACTATTCACTGACCCCTCCCTTACTGCACTCTGCACAGACCCCTCACTCCCTGCACTCTGCCCATACTCCTCCCTCCCTACACCCGGCACAGACCCCCTCTCTCCCTACACCCTGCACTGACCCACTCACACACTACATACTGCACAGACCTCCACCCTTCACAGCCTCCATTTATCCTTGAACCGTACTAAGTAGAGCCCCTGTACCCACTTCACCCAGTGCAGCCCATATCCCCCTGCACACACAACAGCTCTTATCCCCCCTGCACCCACTACATGCCATATCCCCCCACACATACACTACAGTCACTATCCTACTTACACACACATACTGCAGCTTCTATATCCTCTACAAAGTAGAGCCACTATTATGCATACAAACACACACTACAGCTCCATTATCCCCCAGACACCTACTACAGCCTCCACCCCACACACATAGAAGAGCCCATACGAACATACTACAACACAACCAGCCCTCTCCACTCACATACTACACTGCAAACAGCCCCATTCACACTGGCAAGTCCACAAGGAGCCTCACTGTATGCACACAATCCCACAAGCAGCATCCCCACACATGCAATGCCACATACAGCCTCCCTACACACATAACAAGCAGCATACTCGCCATTGCAATACTGCATACAGCCTCCCACGGGCCCTGTGAGTTGTCAGTCAGCCCCTGACTATCATGTTCCTTTAAATAAATTTGTTTCAGAAATGTGCTGGTATAATAATATGGCTTATGCCCCAGGATTTTCAAACATCAAAACAATAGGACACAATTATTTTAAAGCAGATTAATCTAGAGTTGAATTATTTCCAATAACTCTAATTTTGTTTTCAAGTTAAGCTATCAGACATGATACAACATTTTTGAGCGCTATTGTATTGTTACTTTTACAATACAAACCAAAATATATCCAACTCACGCTAGCAGGACTTCTCACGGGCGGTTCCCTTCCTATGGAATAGCCTGCTTACCGTCATCAGAATCTCCCCTAGTCTTGCATCTTTTAAGAAGACCCTTAAAACCCATCTCTTTAGGAAAGCTTACGGCATCCCAGAGTAACCTCTACCTTACATGCCTGTCTCTTGCTCTCTCCTAACGGGCAGCACTATACTCTCTCCTCCAGCTCTGCTTCACTCCCACCTTATTTGATTGCAAATCCCTGTCCTATTGTGTTTTACACCCCACCTCCTATAGACTGTAAGCTTGTTTGAGCAGGGTCCTCTTCAACCTATCATTCCTGAAAGTTTTCTTGTAATTGTCTTAGTTATAGTTAATTCCCCCCTCTCATAATATTGTAAAGCGTTACAGAATCTGTTGGCGCTATATAAATGGCAATAATAATAAAATGGGCATGGCACTCACATTCCTGTCCTGTTCTTGCCTCAGTGCTATTTCGTGCCCCAATACAATGTCCCAAAGAAATGCACTCAGAATGCTTGTAGTCTTGTGCGATATATCCTTTATTTGTGCAAAGGTGCAAGTCCAAGTCGGACTGAAACGTTGATTGTACCTTTGCACACATAAAGGATATATTGCACAAGACTATAAGCCCTCTGAGTGCAATTCTCTCGGACATTATATATATATATATATATATATATATACACACCATATTCTTTCATGTATAAGACTATGTTTTTTTCAAAAAAAATTTACTCTAAAAACACTTGTGCGCGGGGCCTCAATTAAGATGGTGCCTGTCGCATTTTAGTATTCCACGGCCCACACACATACCTGGCCTCCTTCCCGTCGATCCACTTCTGAATGCTGTGGCAAGGAGCAAGTGGTCCCTATATGCATGGGAGCTGCAGCAGACATCAGCACTTACCACCAACGGAGCTCCAGAGACATGCCACACCATAAAACGAAAAGCCATATAAAGGTTTGCTCCACTTCAGGTAGGTCTTGCTTTCTGATTTATATTTATGGGGGAGGAAATGTTGATCAGGGAGCTGAGG